TTGGTTCAGATGGTGTCAAGCATGTGTGGTGGCAACCAGGTGAGGAGTACAAAGACAAGTGTGCCTTGCCTACAGTCAAGCATGGTGGTGGGAGTGTCATGGTCTGGGGCTGCATGAGTGCTACCGGCAGTGGGGAGCTACAGTTCATTGAGGGAACCATGAATGCCAACGTGCACTGTGATATAATGAAGCAGAGCATGATCCCCTCCCTTCAGAGACTGGGCCGCTGGGCAGTATTCCAACATGATAACGACCCCAAACACACCTCCAAGATGACCACTTCCTTGCTAAAGAAGCTGAGGGTAAAGGTGATGGATTGGCCAAACATGTCTCCAGACCTAAACCCTATTGAGCATCTGTACTTTACATTGTAGCAAAGTAATTTCTTCAGTGTTGTCACATGAAAAGATAGAATCAAATAATTACAAAAATGTGAGGGGTGTACTCACTTCTGTATGATACTGTATATATATGTTTTATACATTCCTAGATTGTAAGCTCGAAAGAGCAGGGCCCTCGAACACCTCGTGTATTGTATTGTTACTGTATTGTCTCATGTTCTGTCCCCCACTATAATGTACAGCGCTGAGAAAACCTTTTGGCGCTATATACTGTATAATAATAATAATATTACATGGGTAATGTTTCAGCAGTATCTCTGATATGGATCCTATATTTAGGAATATCATAAACTCAATGAATTCAGATCAGAATATGTGTTTCAGAAGACAGTACCTGAGAATGCTTTGTCAACAAGATCACAGAAAAATAAAGGTTCCATTATCTTATTTCTCCAGTCAGGAGTCTTCCGTAACAGCAGTTCTATTTCTTGATGTCCTGCCTCCATATCCTCATCCAACTTCAGAATCTTAGGAAATAGCACTTCTTTCTGACACAGCTTGGACATCTGTGAAAAAAAATGCAAATAACTTTGTTAATGGGGGGCTCTAATTAAGGTTGCCACCTCATCCCTTTAAAACTGAACACATTAATTACACAGGTTCTGGGGCTGATTGAGGTGGTAATTAAATTGAGCCTTATCTGCATTAAACTAGCATCAGAACCTGTGTAATTAATGTGTTCAATTTTAAAAGGATGAGGTGACAACCCTAGTTCTAATGGACTTGGTGCTATAGCATGCATGTCATACTTTCTGATTAGCAATGTGTGTTGCTCTAAGGCCCAGGTGCCCAATCTTACTGCCCTTTAGTGGCTATGGTGTGGCCCTTGACCTTCACCGGTCAATAGTGGAAGCATTGATTTCTGAAGGGGCTATAATAGCAGTCTTATATGACATACAGTATCTGTAGCGTGTTACCAGTCTTTTACCAATTCCAGCAGAGTATCAACAGTCTCTAAAAATATTTTGTAGCACTACCAGGGGCGGACTGACCATTGGGGAACTCGGGCACTGCCTGAGGGCCCGAGGTCAGTAGGGGGCCCCATGAGATGTCCCTGGTACATTTCATAGGCTTTTTTGGGTGTGGTTTGAGTGTGGGCAAGGACACAGGGGCCCCATGATCCCCTATTGCCTGGGGGCCCTGTGAGTTGTCAGTCCGCTCCTGAGCACTACATATACTGAATAATATGTGCAGCCCCTGGGACATTAGAAACTGCAGCTGAGATCCCCTATATCTAGTAAGTTCACTACTACTGCTCCATGGGATAGGAGATTTTTAGAGGAAACATACATGATTTTGAAGACCTGAGATTGTGAAAAGATAAAACACAAGAAAAGTTATGTTTTGGTAGTAATACATTTTAGTTAGTGGGCTCTGTGAAAATTTCAAAACAAAGAAGATACAAATTAACCAGCAGTGTAACAATTAAAATGTGTTTTTTTTAACATTTTTGTCCAATTGATGAGGCTCAGTACAAACAGGAAGAAAAAGTAAATCTTTCCAAAATCCCTTCTTAGAAAGTGTCCCTATTGGGAAACATCATTTTTATTCCAGTTCTGGTGACAACTCAAAAATATGGATATTCCCATCACTTTCAGTGAGTCACTGACGTGCAAAAAGTCTATAATCCTGTTTTGCAGGAGGGACATGCTAAAAAGTAAAGCAAAGAGGCTGGCAGCCCCGGTATCCTGCACAATGATAAAAAAGTTACTAAAGATGGCTTTCATATTTCTAGTCTCACAGGTTCTGTTTACTTACTTGCTGTTTGATCATTAACAGCATCTCTTGGTTCTCACTTTGCTTCATGTTTAAAGCATCCAGAGTCTTTTTCAGCTCCCTAAATAATCAGATAAACTGTCATTTAAGAAAATAAAAAGATACACGTAAAATCACAAGCAGGCAACAATAAATAGAGACTGGACAACTTTTCCATCTGTAGGAAAGACGGGTATACTTATGACAGCCACCTCCGCCATGTCCCTGCTCTGACACCAGGACTGTAGGCTGATATCTGCATTGCTTGTTTTCTGATTAATACATGGAATTTCAGTTATTCATTGGCACATAAACTAACAATTGAAGAACTATTCTTTTCCTAACAGGTGAAATATACAGCAAATACTGTAAGCTCTCTGATCTATATAAATTTTAACATCAATAAACAGAACACATCCTGTTTCGTGATATGTAACTGAATGTTTTTTCTAGATCTTTCAACTCAAGTATTTCAGTTAAACAGAGCTAAGAGCAGTAGTATGTAAAGTTCAGTAACATACTGCATCCAATCAGCTTTTAGGATACTGAAAGTACTGTATATCAGTTAAATAGTCTGATTGGAAAGGCTTTCTGCCCCTTAAACACTGATTTTGCATTAAAGAAAGTCCAAAGTGCGCTGAATGTCAGAGCCAGATTTTTACATAACCAACCTAAACCATGGCCTACCATAACAGGGCTGCTAGCAGCAGAATGCATCCACTCATGTTGATGTTAGTAACAGATTACAGTGTATAATAAAGGGTCCAGACATCTACGTGGTTTACCCAGGCCACAAGGCTTGAGCCCTTTAGATTTTGTTCTTTATGTTGGTGGATTACTGTACTACATACTCACAGTCCCAATCTGGCCTTGCATTCCCTAGAATAGAACTGCTTGCAGAGAAGGGAGAAAGCTCTGTACTCTCCTGATTGCTGGATTTTGGTATACAGAGTGGTGCAGAATGGGCAAACTGTCTCTTTCAGCCTATCTGCCTTCAGCCTCAGCATGCCATGAATGAACATGATTTCTGATCTTAGTGGGATTTTAAGACTTATCAGATGACTAGGGTAGGATGTGGGTATCACAAGACAGTTGGCCAGGGGCTAGGGAGGGAGTGAGGCAGTAAATATCCGCTCTGCTAGGGCTCCGTTCACACCAGTTCAATTTCACATGCAACATGATACACACAGATTTGCATGACAATGGAAATCACATTGTTTTCAATGGTGTTCCTTCACATCAATGCATCTCAGCATGTCATGATTTTGGAAAAGTTTCCTGTACTGCTTTGCTGCAATTCCAGCACAATTTTGGCCATACAGAATATGCAAACAGCATTCAAGTCGCACTGAAAGTCAGATCAAAGTCGTATTGCAGCAGTGTGAACCTAGCGTAAAAGGTAATAAAACACAAACACACAAACACAACGTTAGCCTTGTGAAAGTGATGTCATTTAAAGACACACTCACCTATTGGCCATCCCATGGGATTCCAGTGTCAGCCTATCCTGTAGAGCATACTGAACTTCTGAGTCACAGAGCTGCAACTTAGCGATGCAGTTATAAACCTCTATTCGGATACCTGGCTCCTCCAGCTTCATGGCCCACAGGAGGAGGTCTTTTACCTGATATGCAATATGTCCTATCTGTCCTAGAGCTAAAATATAATACAGAATTAATACAATGGACCAAAGCAGTCAAGCAATCTTTTTACTGACATGGAACAAAATAAACTGCACATGCACATATGTCCAATAAATGTAAATAGAAATCACAAACAATCTTGCAATTCTTTAAAATATGAACTTTACAAAGATTTAAAAGCACAAATGAAGGTTGTTATCTATTCATTAATCAATCAATTGTTGTATTTTAAATGCAGCCAGTGTAGGATTCTGAAATGTTTCTTGATGTCAGCCTCTCACTAGCAATTAGGAGACCCGGAGACAGAGGGCCAATATTAGCAACCAATCAGGCTCTGCTGCAGTGCACATGTACTCGTGTTGAATATGCCAACAGAGGGAAAAAGAAAGTGAGTGAGCAGAGAGATGACCACATCAGTGCAATGCTGCTCCTGTTTTTGACCAAGCTGTGGTGTTTAAAGTGAAGGTCAGCAAACTCGCTATCTGACAAGTAAACTGGGGTCACAAAACTGCTGGAACAGAATTACTTTTAATCAAGCTATCCTTTAAATGCCCCCCCCCCCAATCCTACAATTACCTATTCCAGTGTCTCTCACATCTTTGCTGTGTGTCCTGCTGGGCTATGCCTGCACAAGAAAAACCCTAATTTATTTCAAGTCCATTCATTTCAAGTCATTGGGACTAATGGTGGAGGAGCATTAAGCACTTGTATATGGCACTTTAATATTCAAACAGTGGTGTGGGACTTTTTATTTGATATTATGTTTTTAAAGTGAATAAGGACTGAAATGTAGTATCACAGTTTATAATTTTGTGCTATTGAAATCACATTTGGAGCGTGAAATAACCAGACTTTGTACGTATATTTATATTTAATGGTGGATTATCGTTCCATAAAACTGAATGGGGATTCCCTGCAGGTATGGCCTGGCTACACAGTGAGGACTTACAATGAGATTTGGGGCAATGCTGGGGGGAGAACCTGGTTATTCAAAGAATAACTTTACTAAAGTACAGCTATCCATGGAAGCAAGGGACTGCATAGCAGATACGTCAGAGGCCCTCTACTGAACACTTGTTCTGGGTTAAAGGCTTAAAGTTTTAAATGGCATCTTGGCCATTTAGATTGGTCAACTGGCCAGCTACTAACCTCTGATTGCCTGTGCTTGGATTTTCCATACTGGATCATATTGAATTATGTGGTAGAGGTGTTCCATGACCTAAAAGAAGAGAATAAGTTCAAAGCACAAAGTTCAAAACACATTACAATTCTGAGTTTTCTGAGTCAAAATAATCATTATAAAGTTGTAGATGTTTTATTAATTGAACTGAATAAACACTAAGCCACCAACAAACCAGCTTAAATAACGCGTAAAGTGTCTGTTTTTTAACTTAAGGATTGGGTATTTGTCAAAATTTATATATTTGTAATTCTAATGTCCCTAAGAAAAAAATACAAAACACTATGTAAATCATAAGGTTTTCAAGGCATTCTGCTTAATATTGACTATACTCAGTTAAAAAAAAATGTTGATGTATGGCCTTGCACTCTTCCAAAAAATCCATGGCTTTTTCTGAATGGAGGAGATACAGAGCGAGTAACTCAGACTGCATTGGTTACATTGGTCACATTTGACAGACGGTACTGTCTGCTGATTGCAACAGAGGTAGGGGGGGGGTAATTTTTAGTATGGCTTGATGCCCCCAAATATTTTTAGTCCCATTCTGTTCTAATTCACCTGGTGATTAGTTCACAGATCCCCTGCTGAAAGCAGTGGACAAAGCCCATGTGAAAGGACTTTAACAGTCTTGTCAGCTGAGTACAGGAGGTAGAAAAGTAACATCTACTGACAGGATCAACAGGTAATCCACAGACATTCTGTGACCAGGGGCGGACTGACCATTTGGAAACTCGGGCACTGCCCGAGGGCCCGGGGTCAGTAGGGGGCCCCATGAGATGCCCCTGGTACCTTTTTCATTGGCTTTTTTGAGTTTGGGCAAGGACACAGGGGCCCCATGATCCCCTATTGCCCGGGGGCCCCATAAGTTGTCAGTCCGCCCCTGTCTGTGACTTTAGGCTTGGAGATTGTGACATTCATCCATTCTTTCTTCAATCACAGAGCGCTTTTCACTCTTTAAAAAGAATGCATAGCTTTTTTCTGAATGAAGGAGATTCAGAGCAAATAACCCAAACTGCTTTGCTCACAGTTAAATGGGTCATGTTCATCAGACGGTACTACCTGCTGAATGTGGCGAGGGAAATAATTTTTGCTGTGGCAGAATGCCTTCAAAACATTTGATCCATGCAGGGGCGGACTGACAACTCATGGGGCCCCCGGGCAATAGGGGATCATGGGGCCCCTGTGTCCTTGCTCAAACTCAAAAAAACCTATGAAAAAGGTACCAGGGGCATCTTATGGGGCCCCCTACTGACTCCGGGCCCTTGGGCAGTGCCCGAGTTTCCAAATGGTCAGTCCGCCCCTGGATCCGTGGTATGTGTACACCCCTGTCCACTGCTTTTGCAGCATAGGAGGGAGCATCTGGGGGTGCGGAAAAGCTGCAATTTTTTTTTTACTGGCCCCCAACCGCAAGTGTAAGCAAAGCCTTACCATCTCATCTTTAATGTGAAGTACACCTGCAGTCCGACAGGCCTGTCTGCGAACTGCAGCAAAGTCATTAGTAAAACACTGCAGGAATCCTGGAAACAGCTGGGCTGTCATGATCTGTAGCCAGCCAATGAGAGACAAGGCTTCCACCTTTGATTTCCAACTGTCACCTTCTAAATGTTTCCTAAAAAGAATAATGTAAAACTTCGGTTATATACTCATGTACCAGGTAAAGTATACTTTGCAAGGATTTTAGAAAATTCTTTTGTATTGTCCAGACTGGTTCAACTGCTACAAGGTCTGGAGCATCCCTTTTACAATCACATGTTCAGGCCCAATGTTGTAATAAGAAACACTCCTAACATGTATCTCACCAAAGATAAAGCACTGATAATAGTGCTGGAGTTCACTGTGATTTTCTCTCAACCTCTGTGCAGATTTTTAGAAAAGGCAGTGAGTTACTGAAAATTATTAGCAATCATGTCAACAGTACTGTATGGGTATTGCCTCTAAGATTCCAAAATGGCTCAGTTAATCATGTTAATGTCATGTCAAATAACATTTATTAACACCATTACATTGGGCACAGCATATCCTGCTCAGTTGAAAATACTCTTTTTATTACCCATGCAGACATGGCTGGAACCACTGCCATTCGCACCTTAATTGGTCATGCACCTCCTTTCCTTGACCAAGACTACCCAATGCTTTGGCAGCTGTCCAACGCACAGCAGGACTCCAGTCATTCCACATCAGATGGCTCAGTTTATTCTTCAGGTCCTAGAGACACAAAACACATAATCAGCCAATCTGAACAAAGCCCAGTGAAAACAGACTCATTTTGGAATAAAGAAAGAAATTGCTTAAACCATAATATCAGTATACTATACATAGGGGGGTCCTTGAAGGAAAAGTTCAGACCAAGAGTACAGTACATCTATTTGTAAGTGGCACCCATGTGATATGTACGAACAGAGAAGGAGTTTTTTTGATGTAAAAGGCCTCTTGAAAAAGTATCTGAAAGAACTCATGTTGCCTAAAGACAGCTATAGATGTAAGGACAGCCATAGATGATGCGATTTTCTTTCCTGCAACCATGGGTTGCAAGAAAGAAAATTGCTTGATTTCCCCATCACAGTCAGTTTTGATGGGGGAATCCCTCCTGCAGAGCTATTGTGTTCTCCTGGTGAGGGGAGCTGGGGAGAGAAAAGTTCCTGGTCGGGAGAGAAAAATGATTATAATAATCACATGTAAAAACTCAACAGGCTGTGTGACGGGAGTCACTTTGGGTGGGGGGTCCATGGAGCACGGCTTACTTTGGAGAGGTGCTGAGACCCCTGTCTCGGCTCCCCATGTCCCTGTTGTGTGTGGGTCGCCCTGTGCCTGTTGGGGGTGCAGGGTGGTGTGTCATGATGTTGTGTGAACATGTGTAGGTGGGGTGGTGGGTTGTTCATTGCTTGGTGCCATGTGGTTGTGTCCCTTTGTTCTGTTGTGTGTCTTGCTTGGGAGCAGACTATTGTGGGATGTGTGTGTTTGTGTTTTCTGTGTATTGGCTTGGTGGCCCTTCCCCCTGATGGGACTGTCTGCTGATGTGTCTCTTGTTACTGGGTGTGTATTGCCCCGCCCTGTGTATATATCTTTTATCTGTGTTAAAATAAAGTAGTCTTTTTTCCTGGTTTTCCTTCAAGAGTGGTGTCTGGTCTGTGTTCGGACGGGGAAGCGGAAGTCTAACAGAAATACCCAAGTGCAGTTGGGGTCCGGTTCCATTACATTGGTGGCAAGCGTTACGATTGTGCTTCCTGGCTGTAAACACATCCAAACCTCCACCGGGATCCAAGGTTCAGATAGCTGGAGAGGAGAGACAGATACCACCCGCAGCTATGGAAACGGAGGTCTTATGGCGGATGCAGCAAGTGCTAGCTTATTTAGACAATCTTGTTTCTACACGGGACAAGCTTGGATGGAGGAATGCGTCTGTCCAACAACTGGATGAGGGTATGGAAGATGGAGCAGTCGGCTCAGCCTTCCAATTACAGATCCCAGGATGTATGGATCTAATGGATTTTTCACTGTAGGATGTTATGGGTGATGAGTCACCTGCAGTCTGGGACATCCAAACCTCCATCAGGATCCAAGGTTCGGATAGCAGGAGAGATACAGATACCACCTGCAGCTATGGAAACAGAGGTCTTATGGCGGATGCAGCAAGTGCTGGCTTGCCTAGATGATCCTGTTTCTGCATGGGATGAGCTTGGATGGTGGAATGCATCTGTCCAACAGCTGGATGAGGGTATGGAAGATGGAGAAGTCGGCTCAAATGTCCAATTACAGATCTCAGAATGTTTGGATCTAATGGATTTTTCTCTGGAGGATGTTATGGGTGATGAGTCACCTGCCAAAGTGCTGGCACTGGGCCCAAGGGCCACAAGCCAGTGCCCTGGACATTTAGCCATTCCAGAGACTGGGGATTTGATAGACTTCTCTGTTGAGGAAAAGCACCTGGTAAGCCTCCAGCAAAAGAGATGACAACAGGGCCAAACATTGCTGAGCTCTACCCAGTACCAATAACAGCTTCAGTCTCCCTGAGAGAAGAGGCAGCCAGCCTTTCTCCTACACCACTGACAGAGACAGGGGATTTCCTGCCAGCAGCATCTTTGGAGGTAGAAGAAACTTCTCCTGCTGAAGCACTGACAACTGGACAGAGGGTCCAGGACCTCTGCCCCACACCTGTGGTAGTTTCAGAGGCCCAGGGGGAGAAGGGAGAGGAGGTTGTTGTCCTCCCTCCCCCAGTCAGCCAGAGTGGAGGAAACTGTCTTCCCTCCCAAGCCAGGATCTGTGCACCAGGGGGACAGTGACAGAGGAATGCCATCCCAGCAGCAGATCCACAGTCTGGGAGTGGAGGAAGCCAGCCTCCCTCCCCTACGGTTAGCCAGAGCAGATGTGGGGTCCCCAGCAGAAGTGCTGGCCACAGGACAGAGCGCCGCTGGCCTCTGCCTAGCAACTACAGTCACCACCTGGATACCACAGGGATGCTGGGCAGTCGGCCCAGATCCCCAACAGCATGATGGAGTCGGCCCAGCCACCCTGTCTTCTCTCCAGCGGCTGAGAGGACTCCAGGGAGAAGGACCGGCCTGTACTTCTCCCCAGCGGCGGGTATGTTCTACGAGAGAGGCAGCAGAGGTTGGCTGCGTGAGTAATGCTTGTTTGGGACCATTTGAACTGCGTGGGTGCTGGCATTGGGGGACTGGAAGTACAGACTAACTTTGGAGTCCACCTATCTGGGGTTTACTCCTGCATTAGTCTCCTGCCGAAAGGGGAGATATGTGACATCACTTTGGGTGGGGGACCCATGGAGCACGGCTCACTTTGGAGAGGTGGGGAGACCCCTGTCTCAGTCCCCATGTCCCTGTTGTGTGGGTCGCCCTGTGCCTGTTGATGGTGCAGGGTGGTGTGTCGTGATGTTGTGTGGACATGTGTAGGTGGGGTGGGGGGTTGTTCATTGTTTGGTGCCATGTGGTTGTGTCCCATTGTTCTGTTGTGTGTCTTGCTTGGGAGCAGACTATTGTGGGATGTGTGTGTTTCTGTGCATTGGCTTGGTGGGGGGTGTTTCCGGCAGCCCTTCCCCCTGATGGGACTGTCTGCTGATGTGTCTCTTGTTACTGGGTGTGTATTGCTTGTATCTGTATTAAAATAAAATAGTCTTTTTTCCTGGTTTTCCTTTAAGAGTGGTGTCTGGTCTGTGTTCGGACGGGGAAGCAGGAGTCTAATGGAAATATCCAAGTGCAGTCGGGGTCCGGTTCTGTTACAGGCTGGTTCTGCCCACGTTGTACAACAATAAAATTAGGTACAATCATCCTGCCCATAGATGGTTTGAATCTCAGCCAGTCCACCGCTGATCCAGCTGAAATTTGAACCATTATGGCTGGCTTTAGCACCCAGTTGGCTTTTCCCATTCTTCGTTTGGTCTGATGACATCCTTTGTCTAGAAAAAAAGCAAGCCCCAAGCATTACAGATAACACATCTCATAGCTGTGCAGTCAGCACTCCCATTGCTGTGTTTTGTGGTCATCCAGTCTATCAAGAGCGAAGTTTGGCCTAGAACTCCATTTCTTCTCCTTTACAAATACTGTACTCTGAGTTTCCTCATCGCTCAAGTCAACTCACAAGATCTACCATGGTGGATAAAGAGAGGAACAATATAATACTGGAATATAATCTTTTTGTACACTGTGTAAATCAAAGAATCTATTGCACTCCTAGGGTCCAGTTGTACATGTGGCCAGCAAACATAAAATTATTTAACAGGGCAGGTAAAAAAAACTCAAGAATCCAAAATCTACAAACACATTAGCAACCAAGAAAGCAGCAGTCTTGGGTATCCTTTTACCTAGCAATTAGTACTACCTTAACGTATTTCAAGGTGAGCTATTCTTTTCATTAACGTAAACTGGATAGTTGCCACTCACCTTACCATGCACCTTGTACCCACTTGAGATCAACAGGCGATCCAATACAGGAGTTTTGGCCTGTATCAGCCCACTAGGATTTTCTTTGTATGTCAGAAATGCCAGAAAATATAAGGGAGGTTTTGAATTATTTTTGTGGGGAACACATCCATTGATTCTTTCACATACAGTTGCAAGAAAAAGTATGTGAACCCCTTGGGATTACGTGGAGTTTGCATGAATTGGGCATAAAATGTGCTCTGAACGTCATCTAAGTCACAACAATAGAAGAACACAGTCTGCTGAACATAATACTACACAAACATTAGATGTTGCCATGGTTTAATTGCACATAACATGTAAACATTCACAGTGCAGGGAGGAAAAAGTATGTGAACCTTTGGACTTAATAACTGGTTTACCCTCCTTTGGCAGCAATAACCTCAACCAAACATTTCCTGTAGTTGTAGATCAGACCTGCACAATGATCTGGAGTAATTTTGGACCACTCCTCTTCACAAAACTGTTTCAGTGTAGCAATATTCTTGGGATGTCTGGTGTGAATCGCTCTCTTAAGGTCATGCCACAGCATTTCAATCGGGTTGAGGTCAGGACTCTGACTGGGCCACTCCAGAAGGCGTATTCTGTACTGTTGCAGCCATTGTTTTGTTGAATGACTTGTATGCTTTGGGTCATTGTCCTGTTGCATCACCCATCCTCTGCGGAGCTTCAGTTGGCAGACAGATGGTCGTACGTTTTCCTGCAAAATGTCTTGATAAACTCTGGAATTCATTTTCCCATCAATGACAACAATCCGTCCAGGCCCTGAGGCAGCAAAGCAGCCCCAAACCATGATGCTCCCTCCGCCATGTTTTACAGTAGGGATGAGGTTTAGATGTTGGTGTGCTGTGACTTTTTTTCTCCACACATAGTGTTGTGTGTTCTTCCCAAACAACTCAATCTTGGTTTCATCTGTCCACAGTATATTTTGCCAGTAGTGCTGTGGAACATCCAGGTGCTCTTTTGCAAGCTTCAAACGTGCTGCAATATTCTTTTTGGACAGCAATGGCTTCCTCCGTGGTGTCCTCCCATGTACTCCATTCTTGTTTAAGGTTTTCCTTATTGTAGATGTGTCAACAAAAATGTTAGCATGTGCCAGAGATTTCTGTAGGTCTTTAGCTGACACTCTGGGATTCTTCTTTACCTCATGCAGCATTCTGCGCTGTGCTCTTGCAGTCATTTTTACAGGACGACCACGCCTAGGGAGAGTAGCAACAGTGCTAAACTTTCTCCATTTGTAGACAGTCTGTCTTACCGTGGACACATGAACATCAAGGCTTTTGGAGATACTTTTGTAACCCTTTCCAGCTTCATGCAAGTCGACAATTCTTGATCGTAGGTCTTCTGAGAGCTCTTTTCTGCGAGGCATGGTTCACATCAGACAGTGCTTCTTGAAACCAGTAAACCCAAAACAGGTGTGTGTTTTTTTAAGGGCAGGACAGCTGTCAGCAACACATCCAATATCATCACACTGATTGGAGTCAAGGTTGGCTCACTCCTGGCTCCAATTAGCTCTGGGAGAAGTCATTAAGCTAGGGTCTCACATACTTTTTCCTCCCTGCACTGTGAATGTTTACATGTTATGTGCAATTAAACCATGGCAACATCTAATGTTTGTGTAGTATTATGTTCAGCAGACTGTGTTCTTCTATTGTTGTGACATAGATGACATTCAGAGCGCATTTTATGCCCAATTCATGCAAAACTCCACGTAATCCCAAGGGGTTCACATACTTTTTCTTGCAACTGTACTCTGTTATAACTTAGACCCAGTATCATTTTTTTAAATCTCCAGGTGTTGCTGACTCCTATTGATAGTATGTAAAATACTTCCATGTAACATAACAGTAGCAGAATAAACAATTGCATATCCCCTCCCCAAGATTTAGCTATAGTAATTTTTAATGTTTTCTATTAAGAATGCTTACCCGGCTGATGTCCCCATGAAGACGGGAGAGGGCTCTGCAAGCAACAATTCGATCCTTCCAGTTACTTCTGTTAAGTGCTTCTCCCAGCAAGGAATAAATCATATTCTATAAAATGAGAAAAGGTACACTAAAGACATCATCTGTCTTCAAGTAATAAAGAAACTCATCAACCACTAGCAATAATTTTCAACAGTTGAGATTATCCAAGTAATTTTATATCTCTAGCTAACATGTTCTGTATGACCACAATTAGGATCCGTAACAAATTATTGAGTTCAGGTGTTTCCAGTGGAGGGTATAGTTAATGCTAGTGGAAAGACACTGTAGACAATTGTCCACTTCAAGTTTTTGGAAATAGTTTGGGGCCCTTTTATTTTCTAGCATGGCTTTCTGTCTGTGTACAGAGCTAGGTCCACAAAGACATGGTTCGATGTGTTGGGTGTGGAAGAACTTTGAGTGGCCTACACAAAGCCCTACCTCAACACTACTGAACATATTTGGGATCAATAGTAGAGAAATGGCAAACCCAAATACTCCTGCGGTTAGGGATGGACTCAAAAAGGATGGGACCACATCGAGAATTTCTTGGAATATGCACGCCTTGCTGCCCTCAAATGACCGGAGAAGTCCAAATATACTGAGTAGAGAAAAACAAAAAGAGGGGCACACCGGCCTGGTGTATTACCTTAAAAAATGTATTTATTAAATGATAAAAGTATTGTACTCACAAAAATGACAATACAGTCAAAGGTACATTATATAGGAACAACTCGGTCCGATCCGCACTAAGTGTGCATCCGTGATGGGAACTCTGGACCTCCAACAGGCTGACGTGTTTCGAAGACTTGCCTCTTCCTCAGAGTCACAAGAACGATGTACCTTTGTACTGTCATTTTGTGAGTAAAATACTTAATTTTATCATTTAATAAATACATTTTGTAAGGTAATACACTAGGCTGGTGTGCCCTCTTTTTGTTTTTCTCTACTCAGTATATTTCGGATCAACTGGAACCCTGACTGAGAGCCATATGTTTTCATCCAACATCAGTATTTGACTTCACAAAAGTTCTTTCACCTGGATGGGCACATATTCCCACAGACACACACAAAAGCCTATGGAAAGCGTTCCCAGGAAAGTGAAAGCTGTTTCAGCTACAAAGAAAGGTGGGGGCAGAGGGAACTCCATTTGTATTGCCCATGCTTTTGGAATGGATTTCAAACTGTAGGTGTGATGTTCAGGAGTCAAAACCAGCTCAGCACTGGCATTGCAATTAATTACATGAGATTATGGAATCAGTTTGTGTCCCTTTTGATACTTATGTAATTCAGTCATAGCTAAACCCAAGAACAAAAATTGATAGTATTGCAGATAGTACTTAAGCCTGGTACACATGGAAAGTTTTTCAGCTGGCTGAACGAAAAAAAAAAAAAAAATGAATGGCCTGCAAGGAGGTCTCGTACTATTCAATGTTAGTACAACAACTACAGTTCGCTATGCTATTGTGTTCTGACAGGGGGACCACCCCACCACCAGAAAGCACAGGTCAGCTCTTGCAGCCATTGGCTGAGACAGCAGATCAGATGCCGATGGACTGCTGGCTTTCCAGCACGCTCCTTCGACAAAAGCCAGTGGTGAGATTGGCTTCTGTCAAACAAATACCTGTACACATGGGCCAAACATCAGCCAGTTTCTACTGTACCGACTGATTTTGGACAATATTCACCCTCTGTGTATGGGATTTCAGATGTGGTGGCTGCATTAGTTTTTTTCATGTTTTCCTTTATTTTAACATGGTAATCCTGCCATCAATACACTATCTGTGCTAGGGTGACAACTACAGTGGGGCAAAAAAGTATTTAGTCAGCCACCAATTGTGCAATTTCTCCCACTTAAAAAGATGAGAGAGGCCTGTAATTGGCATCATAGGTAGACCTCAACTATGAGAGACAAAATGAGAACAAAAATCCAGACAATCACATTGGCTGATTTGGAAAGAATTTATTTGCAAATTATGGTGGAAAATAAGTATTTGGTCAATATCAAAAGTTCATCTCAATACTTTGTTATATATCCTTTGTTGGCAATGACAGAGGTCAAACGTTTCCTGTAAGACTTCACAAGGTTGGCACACACTGTTGCTGGTATGTTGGCCCATTCCTCCATGCAGATCTCCACTAGAGCAGTGATGTTTTGGGGCTGTCGCTGGGCAACACAGACTTTCAACTCCCTCCAAAGGTTTTCTATGGGGTTGAGATCTGGAGACTGGCTAGGCCCCTCCAGGACCTTGAAATGCTTCTTACGAAGCCACTCCTTCGTTGCCCGGGCGGTATGTTTGGGATCATTGTCATGTTGGAAGACCCAGCCACGTTTCATCTTCAATGCCCTTGCTGATGGAAGGAGGTTTTCACTCAAAATCTCACGATACATAGCCCCATTCATTCTGTCCTGTACATTGATCAGTCGTCCTGGTCCCTTTGCGGAGAAACAGCCCCAAAGCATGATGTTGCCACCCCCATGCTTCACAGTAGGTATGGTGTTCTTCGGATGCAACTCACCATTCTCTCTCCTCCAAACACGACGAGTTGTGTTTCTACCAAACAGTTCTATTTTGGTTTCATCTGACCACATGACATTCTCCCAATCCTCTTCTGGATCATCCAATGCTCTCTAGCAAACTTCAGACGGGCCCGGACAAGTACTGGCTTAAGCAGGGGGACACGTCTGGCACTGCAGGATTTGAGTCCCTGGCGACGTAGTGTGTTTACTGATGGTAGCCTTTGTTACGTTGGTCCCAGCTCTCTGCAGGTCATTCACTAGGTCCCCCCATGTGGTCCTGGGATTTTTGCTCACCGTTCTTGTGATCATTTTGACCCCACGGGGTGAGATCTTGCGTGGAGCCCCAGATCGAGGGAGATTATCAGTGGTCTTGTATATCTTCCATTTTCTAATTATTGCTCCCACCATTGATTTGTTCACACCAAGCTGCTTGCCTATTGCAGATTCAGTCTTCCCAGCCTAGTGCAGGCCTACAATTTTGTTTCTGGTGTCCTTCGACAGCTCTTTGGTCTTCACCATAGTGGAGTTTGGAGTGTGACTGTTTGAGGTTGTGGACAGGTGTCTTTTATACTGATAACAAGTTCAAACAGGTGCCATTGATACAGGTAATGAGTGCAGGACAGAGGAGCCTCTTAACCACTTGCCTACCAGGCACTTATACCCCCTTCCTTACCAGGCCAATTTTCAGCTTTCAGTGCTGCCGCACTTTGATTGACAATTGCGCGGTCATGCAACATTGTACCCAAATGAAATTTTGATCATTTTTTTCTCACAAATAGAGCTTTCTTTTGGTGGTATTTAATCGCCACTGGGCGCTTTACTTTTTGCGCTATAAATTAAAAAAAGTGCAAAAAATTTGAAAAAAAAAAAAAAAGTTTGTTTCTTTTATAAAATTTTTCAAACAGGTATTTTTTCTCCTTCACTGATTTGCGTTGATGAAGCGGCACTGATGGGCACTGATGGGCACTGATAGGCAGCACTAAAGGGCACTGATAGGCAGTACTAATGAGGTGGCATGGATAGGCGGCACTGATAGACAGCACTAATTAGGGGTCACGGATAGGCGGCACTGATATGCAGCACTGATAGGCGGCACTGATAGGTGACACTGATGATGGGTACTGATAGACGGCACTGACTGGCATCACTTCTGGGCACTGACTGGCACAACCCCTGGGCACTGACTGGCAGCACTGCTGGGCGGCACTTGTGGGCGGCACTGGTGGGCGGGCACAGGTGGGTGGCACTGGTGGGCACAGGTGGGTGGCACTGGTGGGCACAGGTGGGTGGGCACAGGTGGGTGGGCACAGGTGGGTGGCACTGCTGGGCACATGTAGGTGGCACTTCTGGGCACAGGCAGAGTGGCACAGGTGGGGGCACTGCTGGGCACAGGTGGGGGGCACTGCTGGGCACAGGTGGGGGCACTGCTGGGCACAGGTGGGCGGGGCTAGTGGGCGCACTGCTGGGCGGAACTTGCGGGTGTCACTGCTGGGCACCGATCATCAGGGCACTGATCATCAGTGCCCTGATGATCGGTGCCGATCCCCGCTCTGACAACTGCCGGTTCTCGGCAGTACTTTCCTCATGATCTGACAGCGTGAGGAAAGTGCAGCCGAGAACCGGCACTTGCATTTCCCTGTGATCAGCGTGTCATTGGACACCGCTGATCACGTGGTAAAAGGCCGGTGGGATCGGCCTTTCACCACATCACGTGATCAGCTGTGTCCGTAGGACACAGCGATCACGGAGATCGCCGGGTGCGCGCCCCCTGGGGCGCGCAGGAGAGCGCGTTCTGGGAGGACGTCATATGACGTCCACTCAGAACTGGCCGGCCGCGGTGAAGCCGTCATTCGGCTATGCGCGGTCGGCAAGAGGTTAAAGAAGAAGGTACAGGTCTGTGAGAGCCAGAAATCTTGCTTGTTTGTAGGTGACCAAATACTTATTTTCCACCATAATTTGCAAATAAATTCTTTCCAAATCAGCCAATGTGATTGTCTGGATTTTTTTTTTTCTCATTTTGTCTCTCATAGTTGAGGTCTACCTATGATGCCAATTACAGGCCTCTCTCATCTTTTTAAGTGGGAGAACTTGCACAATTGGTGGCTGACTAAATACTTTTTTGCCCCACTGTATCATCCTAGGAAAGGAAGTCTGTTAAGAGTTGCATAACACCTCCCTCCATAGCAGGGGAAGGTGTTTTGTAGCTCGCAAAGCCAGCAGGGAACTATGCTAATTAATAACAGGATAGGGGTAGAGAGTACAGGAAGTTATCAGATCACACGTTTTCTGGCTCGATAAACAGATATTTTTTTTTGTCTGCGCATGTCAAACAGATACAATAAAATGCTGTCAATGGTATATTTACCAGACCAAAAGAGGAGTAAGTCAGGAACATTTATTGTTAGAGCTTACATACACTTTAAGGTAAATCCTCAGTGAATCCCAACTCTAGCCAAAACCTTTTTCATACACTATAGTTTTATACAGTTGCAAGAAAAAGTATGTGAACCCC